GGAATTGGTTAAAATCTTATAATTGATGATTGGTTCATTACATCAATCATCGAAAATAGTTAGTTAGCATTATTTATCAAATTGTCCTGGTTATGTTTATTAATGTACACAAAATAAAGAAAAAAACATTTAGTTCTTTCGGTTGTTTTGGCAAATTTCATGTCTTTAAAGGATGACTAATATGTAAGGAACATAAATTTCCAGGAGTCTTCCAGATAAATTTTAATCATGACTTGGACCGAGCTTGTAGTGCTTATGAAACGCAACAAACAAAACCAACCTTGTGATAAATATTGTCAATACAAACAAGTGTTCCAAAATTGTTTGTGTTCGATTATGACAAAATGTGATCGATTACTTGGTCGTTTAGTCATTACGACCAATCTTCGATTATTTCAATCAATTGGACCACCACTAATAGGTTCTATGAATCAGGTCTCATTGCTCGTATAAACATAACAAAGAGAAAAGAGGAAAATAATTTATTTACAAAACGTCAGCTTCAGTTCCATCCCTCGATTCCCTGCATGGGTACAATGTGTGAAACCCATTCTTGTGTCCCCCGCTGTGATATTGGTGGAATGTTGCTAAATGCGGCGTAAAACTAAACTCACTCACTCAATGCCATATCATGGCATGAAAGGGCTTATAGCAGGGCCCGATACAGCAGTAATATTAGAAACTACCACTTATATTGCATGACTAACTTGTTCACTCAGGGGTGGAAATAACTTTAAAATTGCTAGTGTACTCAGGTACAGTGGCACATGTAATGTCACTTGCCCTGATAATTTTTCCACTAGACCGTCCGTTTTCTTGTTGTTTTTATAAATAAACAACATAATTAACATTGGAAAGTCAACTGGACACCGGTACAGTGTGATATACAAATTTGCTTGCCCGACAGAAAAAAACACTGGACTCGGACGTCGGGCAATGGGTTATTTCCATCCCTGTCACTCACTCATGCTTTGAAGATCCAGGTTAGAATTGGTCTTCTACTGGTGGTGTGTGGTGCTGTGCATAGAGCTCAGGCCACAAATCAGGTGAAGTTAAACAACGTCGAGCTCGGAGTGTCCTTGTATGAGTGACCGTGTTTGGCAGTTTGACTCCTGTGATTTTTTTTATAAAGAAGCATGTACAATGTGAATCACCCCTCTTAAATTTATGTACAAAGTAAGTGACCCCCCTGCTTGTCATGTACAAAATCAGTGACCCCCCCTCCCTCCTTCCCATAATTTTTAAGCATAATTCTTTTAGATTTAAATGTACAAAATTACAAAATTGCTGACTCCACCTCCCATAGTCTAGTACATGTGTATAAAATGGATGCCCCACCTCCCCACAACAAAATGGGTGACCCCCCTTTAAATCATCATCACCCCCCTAGCCATAAATTATGAATAGTCCCTAATAGCACATAATAATATTTTGTTCATCTGCATGAATTAGTTTTGAAACATAATAACAGTTGATAAGCTTTACCTGTGTTCATGGGATGTTCGCAGCTGACCAGATGTTACTAGATGTTACTAGTCGCTGTGCATTGTGACGTAGATGATAAACAGGATCTGTACTAAACACAGAGGTTATTGGAACACCTGCTGCCATACTGTTTGATAAGGCAGGGGTCGCTGTGCTGCGAAAATTGTCTGGATTGAAAAGTATGTTGATTCCTTGAGGTAACATTTCCAAACTTTGAGACACGTCCTGGGTTCACTGATCTTGTGGCCACCTGATCTGGAAGATTGAACGGCTGTCCGGGGAACAAAGGTTAGATTCCCTCGTCGTCTTACCAAAAGTCTTTAAAAGATGGTACACATATTAGCACTCGCCCACTAGCCAGGTCTAGTATTTTTAATTGTAATGGTGTTCTACATTTCCTAAGGGCTTTTAGAATTTCAAATTTGTTAGGGTTGAAGCCATACATTACCTCTATTCAGTAGGGCTGCAATGAATACACTATTTGGCGAATATGATGCGTATCATGAATATTGGATAACGAATACGAATAATTATTCACGAATACAATATTGTAGTTAAGTGATTGATGTACAGTATGGAACGGACATGTTGACTGTTAATTTGTCACAGCAATAACCAGTGATCTCATGACACTCAAATTTGGTATGTAATAGTTATAATCGACAGTACCATGTGCAGTCTTGGCAAACTAACATGACTTGCACTACTGCAATGCTAGTACATGTTCCATTCTTGCATATCTCACTTTGGAAAGGACATAAGGGTTCAAGTAAAACATGGTCCCTTAAAAAAATTGTAAATATTCGTTAATATTCGGTTCTGGTGACCACGAATAACGAATTGAATTCATGAAGGGCTACGGTTTGATTCACCGAATATGCGAGTGAATCGTTACAGCCTTACTATTCAGGATAGTGGATGTTCTTGGTAAATTTCCTTCCCAGATCGGGGCGGTGGGGTAGCCTAGTGGTTAAAGTGTTCACACTTCACGCCAAAGACATGGGTTCGATTCCCCACATGGGTACAATGTGTGAAGCCCATTTCTGGTGTCCCCTGCTGTGATATTGCTGGAATATTGCTAAAAGATAAGCAAAACCAAACTCACTCAAATGCTCCTTCCCAGATTACCTGTGAAGATCAGGGTTATAATTGGTCTTCAGTGAACTGTGAAGATCAGGGATAGAATTGGTCTTCAGTGAACTGTGAAGATAAGGGATAGAATTGTTCTTAATTGAACTGTGAAGATCAGGGATAGAATTGGTCTTCAGTGAACTGTGAAGATCAGGGATAGAATTGGTCTTCATTGAACTGTGAAGATCAGGGATAGAATTGGTCTTCAGTGAACTGTGAAGATCAGGGATAGAATTGGTCTTTAGCGAACTGTGAAGATCAGGGTTAGAATCGGTCTTCAGCGAACTGTGAAGATCAGGGTTAGAATTGATCTTTAGCGAACTGTGAAGATCAGGGTTAGAATTGGTCTTCAGGAACCCATGGTTGTCATAAGAGGCTGCTAATGGTATCAGGTGGTCAGACTCGGTACCTTGGTTGACACATGTCATCGTATCCCAATTGCATAGATCCATGCTCATGCTGCTGATCACTGGATTGTCTGGTCTAGGCTCAATTATTTACAGACCACCGCCATTTAGCTGGAATATTGTTGAGTGTGACATTAAACTAACAACAAATCTCCGATACTTTTTGTTACCCTGACCCGTGAAGGTCCGGGTTAGAATGAACCTTCAGTAACCCATGCTTGTCGTAAGAGGCGACTAACGGGATCGGGTGGTCAGGCTCGCTGGCTTGGTTGACACATGTCATCGGTTCCCAATTGCGCAGATCGATGCTCATGCTGTTGATCACTGGATTGTCTGGTCCAGACTCAATTATTTACAGACAGCCGCCATCTAGCTGGAATATTGCTGAGTTAGGCGTACAACTAAACTCACTCACTCACTCTTGTTACCCTGCCTGACACTCAGCATTATGGGATAAATCAAAGGATGGTCAGATCGTAGTGAATACACAATATGTGGATCGGTCACAATGAGGCAGTCCATGTTTATACTGTATCGTGGTATCTGAACTCTGAGTTGTACACTTCAAATTGTTAGGTTGGCTTTCATATGGTTTGTGTAGAAGATTCTGTTTTGGAATCGAGTGATTGTTTGTGTAAGTAGGAGACAAAGTGCAGTGATAGGGCAGTCATACTGGATTTGTCTTCTCTTCTCTGACTCAGTAGATGTGTTGACCATGCTAGTCCAAGCTCAAACAGATGGCACACATACATCAGTTTGCCTTGGCACTACCCAGACAATGACAATAGATATAGCTCATATGCAATTTCACAATGTGTAGCCTGACAGTTACAGTCTTACAATGTGTAGCCTGACAGTTACAATCTTACAATGTGTAGCCTGACAGTTACAATCTTACAATGTGTAGCCTGACAGTTACAATCTTACAATGTGTAGCCTGACAGTTACAATCTTACAATGTGTAGCCTGACAGTAACAATCTTACAATGTGTAGCCTGACAGTTACAATCTTACAATGTGTAGCCTGACAGTTACAATCTTCAGTTATGCCCAGAAAATGCTCATAATACATGTAGAATATTCACTTACTTGTTGCAGCAATGTGGCTGTTGTAATTGCTCTAAATCGTTATTAAGTTCCAATGCTAGTTCACTTAACTGGAAGGTTTAGACAACATAGTAAGCATTTATAAATTGATGGAATCATTTCGTTTTGTCTTATTCTGAATATGTACATACGTGTATATATATTTAATTGTTAGACATTCTAAGGTCTGATGACATTGTAAGGGACATCAGATATGTCTAAGAAGATTCGGCAGGACATCAGATGTGTCTGGACATCAGATGCGTCTGCAGATATTCACGCATACGTTCACTTTAGCAGTTGATAATTTCTTCCTGTCACGTCATACTCATCAAGCAGGGAGGAATAGGAGGAGCCATCTTTGCTGTTTTATCTGTTTGTCTATAGTACTTCATCCTTCTTCTGGGGAACCACCATCCTCAGCAAGAAAACTCTAGTCCTCATTGCTATATATCTTCTATGTGAGCTTAGCCGATTTCTGGTGTCCCCTCAAGTATGATATTGCTGGAACATTGCTAAAAGTGGGTGTCCCCGTAAAAAGTGGCAACTCACTCACTATATATCTTCTATAATACTTCATTCTTCTTCCAGGGAACACCATCCTGAAGAGGAAAACTCTTTCTGAGCCATCTAGTCCTCATTGCTGTTAATTTATGTATCCTGTATAATATGTCATTCTTCTTCCAGGGGACACCATACTCGGCAAGAAAACTCTTTCTAGTCTAGAGCCATCTACTCTTCATTGGCGTTAGTCTATGTATCTTCTATAATACATCATTCTTCTTCCACAAGACACTATCCTGAAGAAAAAAAACCCAACTCTTTCTGAGCAATCTAGTCTTCATTGCTGTTAATGTACGCATCTTCTATAATACAACATTCTTCTTCCAGGAGACACCATCCTCAACAAGAAGGCGGTTTATGAGCCATCTAGTTCACAACGCTGTCGCCAGCTGGTTTGTAGTAGAAGCTGGGCTGTCACTATCCTCATCGTCATGGGCCTCTTCCTGGTCCTCATCGCCATCATTGCCTCCTTCGCTCGACCACAAACTCTTCCCTGCACACCGACCAACACTGTCACAGAGGCGGTCACAACCCCTGCCCCTAAAGCACAAACATACATCGCAACAAACGGGAAGGAGTTTCCATGGAAAGATATCCGACTTCCAAAAAGCATCATTCCTGAATCCTATGACATTCTAATGCATCCAAACATATCCCAGTCTACTTTCAAGGGCAGAATTATCATAAAAGTTCGAGCTACTTCTCCAGCAGACTTTGTAGTGTTTCATATCAAGGAGTTGAACGTCACCCACTTTGACGTGACATCTCTGAAGGATGGGGAGCCCATACACACCACCGAGTATCTGGAGTATAAGCAGGGCCAGCAGTTCTACATCAAGCTGGGACGGAGTCTGGAGGTGGATGAGGAAGCGGAGGTCACAGTCAAGTTCGAGGCCTTGCTTGTCAATAAGCTAGTCGGCTTTTATAAAAGTTCTTACACGACGTCAACAGGTGAAACAAGGTTTGTATGATTTAGTATGGTTTTCGTTTTTTATTTGAACTGGATGAAATGCTGTCCAGTTTTGGAAGAATGTGCAGACATTCAGGACATTCCAGGTTAGAATAATCCCCAGGAATATTTGCAGGGGTGACTGTATGGATCAGAGCCCACTTGTGCTAAGAGTGTCGTAAACCGTAGTTAAAGTATCGGAGTTACGCTCATCTTAGCATTAAGGTTGTTTTGTGCATGTGGATCTTGATGACATGGTGTCATTGTGTCCAAATTTCGGAGATCGATGCTCATGCTGTTGATCACTGGATTTGATTATTTACAGACCATGGTCATATAGCTGGAATATTGCTCATTGCAGCGTTAAACAACAAGGAAAAATCAATGACATGGTTGATGGCGTGTGTGATACGGCTGGTGTGAATCGTTGCTCATATTTCAATCAATGGAATGCGTGATCCAGACTAATCAGGATTGTTTATATAGGCTTGATCACATTTTCTGGGACCGCCTCCGTGGTGTAGTGGTTAGAGCTTCCGCCCAGAGAGTGGAAGGTCGTGGGTTCGATCCCCGACTGCGTCATACCAAAAGACGTTAAAATTTGGTACTTGTTGGTCCCTGTCTGGCACTCAGCATTAATGGGTACAATAAGGACTGGTCGGCTCGGAGTCAGTATAAAGTGTCTGAGTCGGGTATTCATGCTTCACTGCGGCATGGTATCTCAGTGGGCTAGCACTATAAAACCAGCTTAAGTCTGGGCTAATACAAGCAGACGCACATGCACACACACATACACGCATGCATGTCGTCATATGAGCGAAATATTCTCAAGCACGACATAAAACCCAATTTCACCTCACCTTACCTCACTTTTTCTGGTCTTGCAGCAAAGTTAATCATATCTGGCAAAAACTTGAAATCTGACTAAAATTATTGCTAAATTAACAAAAAGTATTGCTTGTTTTTCCAACAAGAACAATAACCCTCTCAATGTTATTATCATTAGGGCTGTAAAGATGCATCGAACTATTGATGGATTGCAATTGTTGGTCTCCGATAGCAATTAATCGATGATAGAAACGAAAAACTATCGATGCATCAATAGTATGTGTGACTATTGATAGTTTAGTAATTGACTTCCGTTGATAAATGCACAGCGCAAAATACAGGAAATACAAAATTCGTTCACTTTGTTTTAGAGTTATCCACCCCTGTTAACTGTTTACTTGATCTGGGTTTCAAGTTTCTTGTCAGTTATTAAAAAGAGACTGAAACTACTTCAGCTTGTATTTATTTCATATAAACTATACATTCATTTGGGAAATAACTTCAAATGAGACGTTTCAAAGAGAAAATAACTATTGCGATAGTTTTGCAATAGTTGATCACAATAGACTATCGCTATCACAATAGTATGTTCCAACAGACTATCACAATAGTTGTTTCCCTGTCAGTAGACACCCCTAATTATTATCTTCAAAAACCTCATTTTTGGAAGCAGATTCAAAAACATGTTTTCATGTTTTCCAGAATTAACTTAGACATTACTACCATGATAATATGATAAGTTTTGGTCTTTATGTCATGGACCGCCTCTGTGGTGTAGTGGTTAGAGCATCCGCCCCGAGAGCGGAAGGTCGCGGGTTGGATCCCCGACCGCGTCATACCAAAAGACGTTAAAATATGGTACTTGTTGGTCCCTGCCTGGCGCTCGGCATTAATGGGTACAACAAGGACTGGTCGGCTCGGAGTCAGTATAATGTGTCTGAGTGGGGTATTCATGCTTCACTGCCGCATGGTATCTCAGTGAGCTGGCACTATAAAGCCAGTAGTACAAGCAGCCGTACATACACATACACACGCATGCACGTCGTCATATGAGCGAAATATTTTCAAGCACTTTAAACCCAATTTCACCTCACCTTACCTTTATGTCATGGATTGTTTATATGATTTGTAAATCGTGATTTGTATGATTGTAACCGAAATGACCATTGTTGATGTTTTTAAAGATCTCTAAAATGTTTTTTTAAAACAATAAAAATGTTTTAAAAAAAAAAAAAATAATTTATAAAATTATAGGCTTTTCCTGCTTTATCATTATAAAGCTGGAATATTGCTTTGTAAAGAAAACAACATGACCTGTAATACTGACTTCCTTTCCGTGTTTTATAAAGGGATATCGCAACAACCCACTTTGAGCCGACAGATGCTAGAGCAGCGTTCCCATGCTTTGATGAGCCGGAGCTGAAGGCGAACTTCACGCTGAACATTGTGCGAGACAAACAGCACATATCACTGTTTAACATGCCCTGATGGAGTGAAGAAGACGGAGCAATATGACAACACAGGTCTGCTACTAGACAACTACGACACCAGTGTGAAGATGAGCACCTACCTTGTCGCCTTTGTTGTGTGTGACTTCGCTAACATCTCTAAAACTACCTCTGATGGAGTGAAGGTATGTAGTGTTATGTATTCAGTGTTTTTACCCTGTGGGATCCCAGTCAGATAAGCTCCCCAGCTGTTTAATAGTCAAAAAAATGATTTTCCACTATTATTTTCGTTCTTTGCTATCTACAGTGACATGCCAGTCCACCATAATTAATATCGGTCATAGGCTGTTCTCCTTTTGCATGCTGACAAACCTGCCACTTGTCACTAAGCTGGCAGAATATCAGCCTGGATCCACCGTCATATTTTGCTGTATCCAGTATTTACAATGGTCACCGGAAGTTTCGAGCCAAAACACACAAAACAGCCTTGAACTAAGGGTCAAATCATGGAAGGCTGGGGTCAATACCATGTGCAGATTGTGGACAATAAAATTTTTGCAATAAAGTACAATGCCTGATCTTTCAATTAAGCTATCAAAAGTCACCCTGAAAAACTTAGCACAGACAGAACAGCCCATTTAGACAAGGCACTATATTCTCCTATTTGCTTTTTGGTCATGGTAAAACTTAAGGGGGGAGGAGGGTGTAACTGTGGTCTCTGAAAATACATCTGAAGTTTTTCAAATACAGTATTGAACTTTATGGCCTATTAAACAATGCCTGAATGGTTAGCTGGTGTCTATCAACCCATCAATGGCTTCTGCACTTGCTGTAAGGGTGAACGTGGATCCTTAGAATATTGTCTATATATGAATCAGGACATTCATAGCATTAAAGTTCATATGGTCAGTGTGTGTTTTGGACAAAAAATACCAATGAAACTTCGCATCCTTTTGAAAATTAATCCTTGGTATGACTGTGTTTATGAAACTTCCTACTTTCCTTTGCAGGTGAGCGTGTATGCTCCGAGTGAGCTGATCAGCCAAGCAAACTTTGCCCTGGACGGAGCTGTGTCGGTCCTAGAATACTACAACTCCTTCTTTGGTGTCAAATACCCTCTGCCCAAACAAGGTGAGATGTCCGTAACTGATGGGAGATAATAGGGTTACACTCACGCTTGTTGTAGTGGCAATGTAGGAGGTATTATTTTGGCTTGATGGTCTTTTGGTTGTTTTTTTTAAATACTTCTGGTATATTAGAGCAGATAACTTCATACTTCAATGTGGTACATGCGGTAGCTTGTGTAAAGTTTAAACCACAGATCTGTGTTTGGACAGCGATCCAATTTATAACATAGATCTGTGTTAGGGCTTGGATCCAATTTATAATATAGATCTGTGCTAGGACATGGAGCCAATTTATAACATCTGCATTAGGACATGGAGCCAATTTAAAATATAGTTCTGTATTAACACATGGAGCCCATTTAAAATATAGTTCTGTATTAACACATGGAGCCCATTTAAAATATAGCTCTGTATTAACACATGGAGCCCATTTAAAATATAGTTCTGTATTAACACATGGAGCCAATTTAAAATATAGCTCTGTATTAACACATGGAGCCCATTTAAAATATAGTTCTGTATTAACACATGGAGCCAATTTAAAATATAGTTCTGTATTAACACATGGAGCCCATTTAAAATATAGCTCTGTATTAACACATGGAGCCAATTTAAAATATAGTTCTGTATTAACACATGGAGCCCATTTAAAATATAGCTCTGTATTAACACATGGAGCCCATTTAAAATATAGTTCTGTATTAACACATGGAGCCACTTTAAAATATAGTTCTGTATTAACACATGGAGCCCATTTAAAATATAGCTCTGTATTAACACATGGAGCCAATTTAAAACATAGATCTGTATTAACACATGGAGCCAATTTAAAATATAGTTCTGTATTAACACATGGAGCCAATTTAAAATATAGCTCTGTATTAACACATGGAGCCCATTTAAACCACAGGTCTGTGGTAGGACTCAGATCCACCATAAAATTCCGATTCAGTGAAGGACCCGGCTTCATAATAACACTCAGGTCTGTGACAGAACTCGGATACATCATGAGTATAGCTCGGATCCATTGTAAGAATAAGATCCATGGAACAAATCAGATCCCTTGTCCGACTCAGATGTAGAACTGTCTGATCTTATCAATGGTATAGGACTTCCATCCTTCCTGTATATTGTTTTTCATGGAAGGTTTTCTGTTTTACAGATCTGATAGCCATTCCTGACTTTGCTGCTGGTGCCATGGAGAACTGGGGGCTGATCACATACAGAATGACAGCCATTTTGTATGACCCCAATGTGTCGTCGCTAGGCAACAAGCAGTGGGTAGCAACAGTTGTTGCCCATGAGTTAGCACATCAGGTATGGATCTGTAAACTGGAATCAGTGTTTCAGGTCCCAAGTCCTTTGTTGGTAACAAGAGTAGGGTTGGATGGCCACAGTTAAAGTACAAATTGTTGTGGCTCTGTGAAACAAGACTGCTTTATATTCTGCCTGCTATCACGAGTGAAGTTCCTTTGATTTTATAAACTGGTTATTGACAATAGAGGATATGTTTATGCAGACATTTTCCAGATGTCGTTGAAGGTAACAGGTCAAAGTCACAACATTACACTTTGTCAACAAGTGTAAATGCAGATATCATTAAACTTGGTAGATACCTTCTCTAGTGGGGATCCTGCTTTGAAAGCTTTGAAAGGGTTTGGGGTGAAGCCCATTTAACCCCTGGCTGAGAGTTTTTTCAGGGGTAGCCTAGTGGTTGGATCTAGCGTATTGAAATGTAGAATATTAAATTTCCTATCGTCACCTTGGCAGAAGACCTGCTAAATGGTTCAATTCCCTTTTATATCACATGGGTACAATGTGTGAAGCCCATTTAATTAACACTAGGTCAATGTAACTCAGGTCAATTGGAGAAAATTTGTTGTGGATCACGGACGGCTATATTTTCATTATTTTATGTTTATGGTGAACCAAACTATTGCAGTTCAAAGTTCCCCAATGTGGCGGATGCAGTTTGGTAGTTTCACAATTTACAAGAAAAATGACAACGTCTTACATGTGAAAAGCACGTAATAGCGATTTGGATGGCCCTATCCGATATATAAGTTAGTTCTTAGATTCCCATATTCTCCTGTTTGTGTAGATGTAATTTGACTAATTTTGCATTGTTATTACCAGAATACTAGCCATATCTTCAAATGTAAGGAAATTGCTGAAAATATCACAACATTTTAGTTGGCGTCATTGCTTGTTTTATGCATTTTGCGCGACGTCGAGGAAAAGGACGACATTGGTATGCTGATTAGTATATATCTCACCTAATTTCTATTAATTGTATAAAAGGTCTCGGCTTCTCGTCCAGAATTTAACACTCTATAAACAAAACATAAAATGACTGATTTTTCCATTTAAATAGTGTCCTGAATATATCATCAATTAGAGCGGTTTGACAGTGTATCTTATTGTGAACAACACGCACCTGTTTGGCATCAACTTAACATAAATAAAAATAATATTTCTCAACACCCGAATATTTTGTTTGGGATAAGAAGTTTGTTTGTTTATGATTATGTAGCTATTTCTCTTCATCATGTATGCAATGAAAGATGCAAAAGATAGCTTTTATATATGGAACTATATATTAAAATATGGATGTAAGATTTGTCGAATTAACACAGATGGTATATGAGATGGTATATATATATTCAACAATTTTCCTATAAATGTAGTTAGAGTTTGATATCCTGTCATGCGCAATATTATTTAATCGAATATGAATTGATTATATTATAGAAAACAATGATAGAGAATCATAAAAGCGTTTCCAACAAAGCAGCAGCACCTGGCCAATCAATATGCATTATTCTTTTGTCTATAAAAGCGACACAAATTTATGCAATGAACAAGACAATTCCTTTAAATATGTGTGCATATACATTTCATACCATATATAAATCATTTTCATTAATATTATCAGTTTTACATATAAGGTTGAATTAAATCACCGTTCATTAACCAGTTCATATGAAATTGCAATATTAGTCCAAATAAATTGAATAGGAACTAAAGTAGTTGCAATTATGGCTACGTTTGATCGTCTAACACTTGTGTAAAGGTTTAGAATATGGTGTATTGCACTAAATATGTCAATTTCTTATGTAAATATGATGCAAACAATCAAAACTTTTTCAAAGAATAAAACACCGTAAACCCTATCTGTGGCGTATGATATGATATTGAACAAGGCTAAATGTGGATACTGAAGTCAGTTTCATGAAAAAGTATCTGAACTATCATGCAAAAATACACCATAATACTGACAGTGTAATCGGAAGGATTGGGCGATTGTGTTTACTCTTGTTCAACCGACCTTCACCTCAAAGAAATTGCCTAATATGTACAACAATGTTGACGTATGACATCACTACAGCTGACCGATTTCTTACAAAATGGCTTTGCTGACAAGGGTACACAGGATTTTGCAAGGTCCCTTCTATTGATTCAGGGATCGTTTGTCCATAAATATGACATGTAAGTAATCAGAATGATTCTGACTATCTGTGTATTGTTATATGTTTTATCGTTTTCACTATAAGTAAGAGAAAAGCCAGAAATGCTGATAATTACCGTTGTCGTTCTGCGTGATTTTCGTCAGTCATGGCGTCACGCTGCATGGAAACTTTGACAATTTTTATGAATTATCAAATCATTGCATTGTATCTATTTATAATTTCTATTTCTTGCTCACGATACTCTTTCCATGCATATTCCAAAGGTATTGAGCCATTGCAAGCAATGAATAGACGGATGAATGTTGGACAATTTCAGAAAATGCTAGACAGTGTAAAATAGGTTTTTGTCTTTGTTTACATTTCGAACCAGTGCAGTCTTTTCGAGCACAGCGTTAGTTTTCACACTAATATGTTTAGTCTCATTTTATCTAGACAGTTGGCATTGGTGACAAAGACCAGTTGCAGTTTGATTCTAAAATGTATGGGGAATTCATTGATGCATTTTTTGAAGCTAAATATGAAATATATCACATTGATGTAATAGGCGTCTCAATACCGCCCTTGAAGCGTGATTTTGTAAACACTATCCAATATGGCGGCAAGCTCACGGCCGTTAGTGTAAGTGTATTTTTCGAAAACATCCCAACCGATTCTAGATTCATCGACTAGCGTTTCAGAATTATCATTAGCGATTTCATGTAAAAGTGATATCAGTGTTCATTAATATGTTATTTTTTTAAATTCAATACTCCCAGTAATTATCCGATTTTCACATTACAAAACATACAGCAAATAACGCTGTGAATCGCGATTTATTACTGTGTCAAAATGGAGACATTTTCGATGAAGCCTATTTTGAAAGGTCATTTTGCACTTGAGCTTTGTCTAAAATAATAGTGGATGGTATCAAGAAACAGGAAATTTCCCGCAGAATTCGAAACTGTGAAGTGTATTTGTGTGCGTGGGATATTTTGATTTTTATTGGACTTGAAATTGAGGGTTGAAGGGAAAGGACATATATGTCCCTGTGGCATCATTAATGTGTTCTAAATATTGCTAAAAGCGGCATAAAGCCATACTCACTCACTCACTCACTCACTTGAAAGGTTTGGATCAAGGTGCTGAAGGAGTGATTGTGTCTTTCATGAAACATGATTATAGTTTTGGCAGTTGAAGCATGGTAACCTCAACAGACAAAATGCAAAATATCATAAAAAGTACCTATCACATGATAGGTTGTCTGTCAGTGGACAAGGTAGTCTGTCATACAGCCCCTGAAGCAAATATATCCCAGAAATCCAACGCAAGTCTAGAAAATGTGGCAAGTCTAGATTTCCACAGCTTCAGGAAAAGAAGAAAGTCTCAGGGCTCCTTTTCATTATATTATTATATTTTTTTTTTCACTTTGAGCTCTTTCCTGTAAAATATGTTCATTTCAGAGACTAGTTGTTAGTCTATGGTCAAGGTCGTCTTTGCAGATATTGTCAGTCATAGTGACTGGTGTCATTTATTGCCAGTTGTTGTTGCTCTTGCACTTGTACAATCCAGGGGTGGAAATAACTTTAAAATTGCTAGTGTACTCCGGTACAGTGGCACATGTAAAATCACTTGCCCTGATCATTTTTCCACTATATCAGCTGTTTTCTTGGTTTTTACATAAAGAACATAATTAACATTGGAAAGTCAACTGGACACCGGTACAGTGTGATATACAAATTTGCTTGCCCGACAGAAAAAACCACTGGACTCGATCGTCGGGCAATGGGTTATTTCCACCCCTGCAATCATGAGGCTTTGGTGATTGATCCCTGCAGTGACTTGCTGAGTTTACATCAGACCATGGCCATGTATGTCTGTTCCATAACCGTGAAGATCCGGGTTAAAATTGATCTTCAGCAACCCATGCTTGTCGTAAGAGCCGACTAACGGGATTGGGTGGTCAGGCTCGCTGACTTGGTTGACATGTCATCGTATCCCAATTACATAGATTGATGCTCATGCTGTTGATCACTGGATTGTATGGTCCAGACTCGATTATTTACAGGTCGCCGTCATATAGCTGGAATATTGCTGAGTGCGGCGTAGAACTTAACTCGCTCACTGTTCCAGCAAGTATAGGCTATCTCTGTTTGTCCGTTCACTTGTCACGCAGGGTCCGCCCGGAGAGCCGAAGGTCGTGGGTTCGATCCCTGACCGCGTCATACCCAAAGATGTTAAAATATTGTACTTGTTGGTCCCTGCCTGGCGCTCGGCATTAATGGGTACAACAAGGACTGGTCGGCTCGGAGTCAGTATAATGTGTCTGAGTGGGGTATTCATGCTTCACCGCGGCATGGTATCTCAGTGGGCTAGCACTATAAAACCAGCTTAAGTTTGGGCTAGTACAAGCAGCTGCACATACACATACACACGCATGCACGTCATCATATGAGCGAAATATTCTCAAGCACGACGTTAAACCAAATTTCACCTCACCTCACCTTGTCACGCCGAAGACCCGGGATCGATTTCCCACATGGGTACATTGTGTGATATTGCTGGAATATTGCTAAAAGTGGCGTAAAACTAAACTCACTCACTCACTGTTACAGTGGTTTGGGAACCTGGTCACCATGGAGTGGTGGGACGACCTATGGCTGAATGAGGGCTTCGCCAGCTACGTTGAGTACATCGGTGCAGATCAGATCAACCCAGACTTCCATATGGTAAGTACAATAATCATAATAAGAATGAGTCTTTAATATGGCACCAACTCCATACACTATGTGTATGCTCATAGCGCTGCAAATATAATACAATATCAAATGTAACTAGTACAGCATACTAGTGGTGGTCCGATTAATTGAAATAATTGAAGATTGGTCGAAATATCTAAATGACCATGCAATCGATCAAGTTTTCTCATAATCGAACCCAAACAATTCTAGAACACTTGTTTTCATTAACAGTATTTTCACAAGGTTGGTTTTGTCTGTTACATTTCATAAGCACTACAAGCTCATTACAATTCATGATTGAATTTATCTTAAAGACTCCAAGAAATTCATGTTCCTAACATACTAGTCATCCTTTAAAGATGTGAAATTTTGCCCAAAAAAGACAAAAGAACTACATGTTTTTTTCCTTATTTGTTTGTGCATTAACAAATTTCATAAATGACGCTAACCAATTATTTTCAATGATTGATTGGTTGTAATGCACTAATCATCAATTATGAGATTTTAACCAATTCCCAACACTACAGCATACATACACTGAAATCTCAGACTAAACTTGTGTTTAGTTTGGAGTGAGTGAAATATTTTCAGCCATATAGCAATTAGTGTTTTTTGTGTGTATGGGAATAGTACATTCCTATTTGTAGTGTGTATGGAATGAATTTGAAAGCTTTGAAATTTAATTTTTTTGCCTGACTGTTCAATCTTTGACAGTTAAGAAAAAACAAAACTGACGACGTCAAATATCATACAGGAATATGGCAACCATATGTATTTACATTTTAAATATTAATTGTATCTTGTCTCTGACCATTGCAAACTTCTCAGAGAGAGAAATCATTTTCAAATGTAAGGACAAATTATAACATTAAATGTACTGCAGTATAAACAGTATTCTACCATGACATCAGTAAACACTGGATTGTGATTGGTTAATTAAAGTCATTCAGAGGTATATAATCACGTTATACAGGTCTCTGTTTTCCGTGCGCAATCATACATGGTTTACGGTAATGCACTATTTTTGTCTGCCCACTAACATGGCGGACACCAAACAACCTACCGATGCATCGATAAATTACGGCGATTTTGCTGTCGGAAATTACACATATGTCTTTAAAGATGGATTTAGCGATGACGGGCTCGACTCACTACTTGCGTAAATCACAGCAATAGGTGTTTATACATACAAAAGTACTTGAGAAAGTATTGAAACAAATATTCAGTCGAACAAGATCCAAACATCGTCTGCTTTCAGAATAAAAATTCAGCAAAACAAATATGTTTACGTTGATTCTATGTTATGTCAGAATAGATCCAGCAATAGACTGCTACATATATAATTTCCGTGTTAAATTTATTATCAGCTTTTCGTCAACGATATCGCCACTGATCTTGATCCGGTAACGGAGGATGCATTAACATCGAGCGCCGAAGAAATTTTAATGCCTTCCATCGACATAAATAAACAGTTGGGTTATCAATTCAAACAAAATGATAATTTTGAAATTTGTACTGTTTCAAATTTAGCGGTAGTAAAACACAATTACAGTATCTGCGAAACCGTTCTGTTTAGCCCAACATATTTTTTTCTAAAAGTATAATATCATTGAAAAAAGTTATTTAGCTTAGTCATGATCCTCTTATCCATTACACTGCTTGATCTAAAGTAGTCTATTAAAGTATAATAAATTACCTTACCGTGTTTATGCCAGAGGTACACCCTCATGTCCTGATCCATCCTTTCGAAATATCACCACAAATCTGTCTCTTTGTCAACAGACTCGCGAACATGCCAGCGAATCCGATTCAATTTGAATTCACTACACTTTGAAGCCACTAGGTCACAAAACACTTTCCAAAATGTAGAAAATAATATCCGACGAATCGAATTTGAGCACAAAGTACACACATGAGTGTGTAAGAGTCATCACAGCTGTCGCACGCAGACGTAGAGTCGCGGAAATCGTCAAGTTGACAGGGCGCAAAATTCAACAGTATCTAAATTGATTTTAACCACGGACTCCTCGTTACAGCAAAAGCCTCCACTCTTAAATTTTGTACCAGTACCAGTAATTAGATATCAAAGACTATCTCAGTCATGCAATCAGGTTAACCTTGCTCAAACTGTCATAGGCTCTCCTGTCGCATCTTTCCAAATTTGCACGTAAATGTAAACAATGACTTCCGAGAAAAGGTCAAGGCCATGAGGTTGCTGCCATTATTCTGGTGGGGTAAGGGTCTACTGTGGAATTTTCAAATGTGAACCAAGCTTTTTAAACTTATTTGATATATGTTTTCCAACTTATCAGTTAATGATTGGTGATTGATGCATTGAGAAAACATAACGTGATTTGTTATTACTGAATCTGGAGTTTGTTAGTCATTGACGGTTTGCCACCAATCACCCCGTTTCGGGCAATGCCACTTGAGATTGGAATCGCGAGGCCAGCTTCAATGTATTGACTCGTAACCAGAGAAAGAGCTCCACCTGAAATTGTTCATAAAATTGTCATGGTAGAATGGAGATAAACTTACTGTGTTGGAAAATCAGAGGGTATATAACTTGAATTATAATAGCTCTAAATTGTTCATTTAAAACCTCACGCCACGCGTTCGGTTTTAAATGAAATTTAGAGCTATTATAATTTCGTTATATACCTCTGATTTTCCCACACAGTAGGTTTATCTCCTAATTAGCATCTTTTTGATTCTACTAACAAACTTTTCTTTTAATCAGAAGCTAGCCTGTAGCGCTTCATCCTTCTGTTCAGCTAATGTTCAGAAGCATGATATGTCTCTCCCCCTGGATGAATTTGTGCATCAACTGACACATTACTTTTTCCATGTTTTGTTTGGAAATTAATAGAAATTACAGTTTTTCTCAGGTACTCCCCACTGGTTGAAGTGTTAAAGGCACTATATAACACCCAACTTCTCTAACAATAAATAATGCATTTCTCTCAATAATACTAACTCTCAGCCCTCAGGGAAGCTACCATATAATTTATTAAAAAACCCATGCATATTTAGATTACAATATTAAATTCAAAAGTTCGAATGAATTGATGCAACATTGTATTAAATCGACTCTCGCGCACTTTAACAGCCGAACATTATTTTAAGTCATGTCCCTTGTTTACGAACATCCTACGCACAACTTGTGATTGAAACCAGTCCGGCAAACACTGACAACTCTGCGTGGGACAGTTTTCGATGTATGGAGCAATTGTTTATGTTCTATTTTTATGGCAAGTGTTCTCTGTTTGGAAACTGTTCGCCTCTGTTTCAATTATCGATTCAAGTCATAAGGGATAATAAGTCTTTTATTGCATCAATAGGAAGCTAAAGTGAGTGCATATGCCCCAAGATATATAATATAGGCCAAAATGTATGTCTGTTCTATACCCGTGAAGATCCGGGTTAAAATTGATCTTCAGTAACCCATGCTTGTCGTAAGAGGTGACTAAAGGGATCAGGCTCACTGACTTGGTTGACACATGTCATCATATCCCAATTGCATGGATTGATGCTCATGCTGTTGATCACTTGATTGTCTGGTCCAGACTCGAGTATTAACAGACCGCCGCCATATATTGCTGAGTGCGTTGTTAATCAATCAATCAATCAATCAATCAATCAATCAATCAATCAATCAATCAATCTCTATGTTAACACCATTCTATGCTCCAGCATGACCAGTTTGTGACAGAGGACCTCCTGTCAGCCATGTACCTCGACAGCATGAGCAACTCTCACGCCATCCATGTCCCCGTCGACAACCCTGAGGAGATCAATGAGATTTTTGACAAAATCTCGTACAGCAAGGTGAGCTATATATATTGCCAAGGCCAGATTTCAGTCCATAGTATGCATAGTGAAGAATGTCTTAACAGTTGGGTAGTAATAAGAAATATGGGTGTAACCCTTAAAATATATTTAAAAAATTGGTTCTCGGGCAATGGCTTTTTAAAAAATATTGTCGCGGGCAGCTTTACTTTATTTCAACCTTGGAAAGGGCCTCCCTAATAAATATTCCTTGATTTCTTCTAAGTACAATACTGGCAACTTTATCCCTTCGTGAAGATCCAGGTTAGAATTGGTCTTCAGTAACCAATGCTTGTCATAAGAGTCTACTAATGGGATCGGGTGGTCAGGCTCGCTGACTTGGTTGACACTTGTCATCGTATCCCAATTACGTGGATCAATGCTCATGCAATTGATGACTGGATTGTCTGGTCCAGACTTCGATTATTTACAGACTGCCACCATATAGCTGGAATATTGCTGATTGTCTGGTCCAGACTCGATTATTTACAGATTGCCACCATATAGCTGGAATATTGCTGATTGTCTGGTCCAGACTCGATTATTTACAGATTGCCACCATATAGCTGGAATATTGCTGATTGTCTGGTCCAGACTCGATTATTTACAGATTGCCACCATATAGCTGGAATATTGCTGATTGTCTGGTCCAGACTCGATTATTTACAGACCGCCACCATATAGCTGGAATATTGCTGATTGTCTGGTCCAGACTCGATTATTTACAGACTGCCACCATATAGCTGGAATATTGCTGATTGCAGTGTTAAATAACAAACCAATGAAACCAAACCTTCATCTAATTTGAAGCAGCTTGAAGCAGGTAACTCTTCAGGCAGGAATACCAAGCTTTCATACAATTGTAATACAGAGAATTCAACTAATGTTATTCAGTGTATATACAGTCATCCCTCGCCATAACGCGGGTCTTGGCGCTATAGCGCAGTGTGTTGCATCACAGCAGACATCGTAAGTACAAGGCTGATGGCATGTCTTTATGATTAAGTTGTCTTTTATAGGTTTTTACAATTGTTATTGTGATATTCAAGAAAACCCTGAATGTTTTTAAGCATCTGAGAACCCATAATGCAAGGATATATACAATAAACACTGTTTATCATGTTTATTGTAATAAACACTGTTTATCATGTTTATTGTAATCCACACTGAATTTTCGCTAGTTTACAAAGTGATTGACCTGAGCACAACGGTGGATTTGTTGATAGGCTATTTCCATTGACGTGAAGATGTGTTATCGCTGGGCAACTTTTTTAATGAGAGCCACGGATTACCCCGCAGTTTAACCAAATCCGCGGTATCGCGAAGAGCGTTATTACGAGGGATGATGTCTAGTATGTACAGTGTATATACTATACTACCCATCAAAAGTTAAGATTCACTTAAAGCACTCACTATATGTTATGTTGATTCCCCACATGGGTACAATGTGTGAAGCCCATTTCTGGTGTCTCCTGCTGTGATATTGCTGGAATATTGCTAAAAGCAGCATAAAACCGTACTCACTCACTAGACAGCTACAAGGTAATAAAGCCAGGTTTGCTGACTCTGTTGGTGTCCAGGGCGGGTCAGTGCTGCGCATGTTGAGGAACATCCTGGGACAGAGCAAGTTCAAGGCCGGACTCACTCACTACCTGACCATCCACAAGTACAACAACGCTCGCACGGACGACCTCTGGGCAGCTCTCCAGGATGTAAGTTACACAACTTAATCACCTGCATGTTACTGAACTTGATGATCCAATGATCAACGATGATCTGCAGATGTCTGATAACATGCTGTCATTGTTATATAATTAACCATTTTAGCTAGCATGAACAGGTGTGCAGTGTTCACGAATAGCGTCTGACCCTCTGACAAATGCGGCAGATTCGCCAACGGTCAGACAGAAGTCTACAACCCGCCGGCCCCAGTGTCTGACTGTATATTTCACAATGACTTTGACTGAAGTTGTTTTATGTGACATGAGACACTTATTTGCTGTTGATAAATCTTATGTTTGTTAATAATTTCAATGTCAATTATAAGAAATATTAAATCTTAAATGTGTGTTTAATTTTATTCTTTGGGTCCTGTGCATTTTCAATGGGTCAGACAGACATCTGAAACTTACAGGACCCAATGTCCTGTGACTTTGAAACACCATTCGCGAACACTGGGTGTGGACTTAACGTGAAGTCCGAACCTGTTTTTATGTACCTGCAAAAGCAATGTTGATCGTGAGGCTTGCTGTCATGTTTGGTCAGGCACTGACTCAGCTACTTCTCCTCTTCCCCAACCATCTCCACTACTTGCTACTTCATCTCGTATATGATCGGAATTTGATTCAATGAAGCAACAAGTAGCCCTGAAATGTCTTGAGGATATACAGAGAATCTCACCCAAGTGTCTTCTGATATCAGTTATATTAACATGAGTTGATAATGTTACAAATATCCGGGGTTTGCCGAGGCTTGTTGATATCAGAAGACACGAGGGTGAGATTCTATTTATCATCAAAAATCACTATTCATTAGTTGTCAATGAAAAATGTACATCTCTGAACATGGTACGGCCATTAGACTTGCAGTGCAGTGATGTCTAAACATTGTAATGTCATCAAGTTCCTGACATCATAGCATTGTCAGGGCATTGTACAAAATCTACTGTCAAAACAATATCTCCTGTGAGATATCATATGAACTCACACAAGCAATATCTCCTGTGGAACACAATTTTGGATGATAAAAAAGTGAAGTTGTATCATAGAGCAAGTGAATCGTTTTAATTTGCTAAAATTGAATGGCCAAATGATACGATCACCTTAGCGCTACGATTGCTTTGTGGAATGGACCACTGATTTGCAAGAAATAGACCTGAAATGTCTTGTGGATATAATAAAGAAATTGTTTCACATAACATGCATGACCTTGTCAGAGATTGTGAATGCCTTCCAGGGCTGGAAATAACTTTAAAATTGCTAGTGTACTCTGGTACAGTGGCACATGTAAAATCACTTGCCCTGATAATTTTTCCACTATACCGACCATTTTCTTTCTGATTTTTTAGATAAACAACATAATTAACATTGGTAAGTCAACTGGACACCGGTACAGTGTGATATACAAATTTGCTTGCCCGACAGAAAAAACACTGGACTCGGACGTCGGGCAATGGGTTATTTCCACCCCTGCCTTCATTGCTGACAATTGTATGGATGAATGCCATGTGTGTAGTGTTTTGTGGGACAGATCCTTCTGAGACTCGTTTGTTGTGCAGGCTAACCCGAACCTACACGTGGACATCAAGGCCGTGATGGACACATGGACCAAACAGATGGGGTACCCCGTGGTGACCGTGAAACAGACCGGGACTCTCCTCTCCCTCACACAGGACCGCTTCCTCCTCAACGCTGCTCACACTAACGATGCCGTCCCTAGCTCTGATTTCAAGTCAGTCAATAACACTTCCACACTTGTTCTCATGTATTAGGATGGGTAGAATGCATGGAGCCCATCTCTGGTGTCTCCCGCCATGATACTGCTGGAATATTGCTAAAAGCGGCGTGAAACTAAACTCACTCACTGTAATGTAATACAGTTTATTAGATATATGTGAGTGAGTTGTATTTTATGCCACACTCAGCAATATTCCAGCTATATGGTGGCAGTCTGTAGATAATCAAATATGAACCAGACAATCCAGTGATCAACAGCATGAGCTATGCAATTGGGAACCAATGACATGTGTCAACCAAGTCAGTGAGCCTGACCACCCGATCCTGTTAGTCGCCTCTTACGACAAGCATGGATTACTTAAGACCAATTCTAACCTGGAGAATCACGGGTATTAGATATATGTAGATATAGTATCTCGTCATTGCTAACAAGTATAATGACCGTATGGATAATGTTCACAAAGCTTGACTGACAGTGTGAGTTTGTTGCAGGTACAAGTGGTACATCCCCCTCACTCTCGTCACCAGCGCCGACAACCAGACTCACCAACTCACCTGGATGAACATGACGTCAGGTGAGTCACGTGTCCAACATGCTTGTGGTGTACTGGTGATGAACATGACATCAGGTGAGTCACGTGTGCAACATGCTAGTGGTGTACTGGTGATGAACATGACGTCAGGTGAGACACGTGAACAACATGCTAGTGGTGTATTGGTGATGAACATGACGTCAGGCTAGTCATGTGTACAACATGCTAGTGGTGTACTGGTGATGAACATGACGTCAGGTGAGTCACGTGTCCAACATGCTTGTGGTGTACTGGTGATGAACATGACGCTCTGGTGAGTCACGTGTCCAACATGCTAGTGGTGTACTGGTGATGAACATGACGTCTGGTGAGTCACGTGTCCAACATGCTAGTGGTGTACTGGTGATGAACATGACGTCAGGTGAGTCACGTGTCCAACATGTTAGTGGTGTACTGGTGATGAACATGACGTCAGGTGAGTCATGTGTCCAACATGCTAGTGGTGTACTGGTGATGAACATGACGTCTGGTGAGTCACGTGTCCAACATGCTAGTGGTGTACTGGTGATGAACATGACGTCAGGTGAGTCACGTGTTCAACATGCTAGTAGTGTACTGGTGATGAACATGACGTCAGGGCAGTCACAGACAGCCACTCCATGTCAGAAGCTCACTGTACTTAAAGGTGACAGTATAGCCATTGTGTATCTCCAGAACAATCTGGAGAAATAATTGTTGTCATAGTTCTCATATTTCTATCCATCTAGGACTGTCCGACAACATGCCTAACCTCTGTGTTGATTCTGAGTAAAAATAGGCCCCCAACATTTGCAGGTTGTAATTAGTGAGTTTAGTTTTACGCCACACTCAGCATTATTCCAGCTATGTGTTGGCTGTCTGTAAATAATCTGAACCAGACAATCCAGTGATCAACAGCATGAACATTGATCTAGGCTGTTGGGATACAATGACATGTGTGAACCAAGTCAGCGAGCCTGACCGCCCGATCCCCTTAGTCGCCTCAAACGACAAGCGTGGGTTACTGAAGACCAATTCTAACATGGATCAGGTGAAAGGATTTTGTGACTTGCTCCAAATATTTATCACTGGTTTGTCTTTCCCGGACTCATTTATTTAAAGCCTGTCATTAGCTAGCAATATTGACTGTTGCCAAGTGCAGTGAAAGCTAGTGCTGTAACGATAGATCGAACTATCGATGGACCGCAATTGTTGAGTCTCCGATAACAATTAATCGATGGTAGAAATGAAAAGCTATTGATGCATCGATAGTATGAGTGACTATCGATAGTTTAGTAATTGACTTCCGTTGATAAATGCGCAGCGCAAAATACAAGTAGTATCTGATTCGTTCACTTTACAATTATCCTCCCCTACAGACTTGCAGCTTCACTGAGTTTATGTTTTAACTGTTTACTTGATCTGGGTTTCAAGTGTCTTGTTTGTTAATGAAAGTGACTGAAACTGCTTCAGCTTGTTTTTATTTCATATAAACTATACATTCATTTGGGAAATGACTTCAGATGAGAAAATTCAAGGAGAGAACAAACTATCGCAATTATTATGCTGCTTTAGACTATCACTATCCCAATAGTATGTTGCAATAGACTATCGCTATAGCAATAGTATGTTGCAATAGACTATCGCTATCGCAATAGTATGTTGCAATAGACTATCACTATCCCAATAGTATGTTGCAATAGACTATCACTATCCCAATAGTATGTTGCAATAGACTATCGCTATAGCAATAGTATGTTGCAATAGACTATCGCTATCCCAATAGTATGTTGCAATAGACTATCGCTATAGCAATAGTATGTTGCAATAGACTATCGCTATCACAATAGTATGTTGCAATAGACTATCGCTATCTCAATAGTATGTTGCAATAGACTATCGCTATCGCAATAGTATGTTGCAATAGACTATCGCTATCGCAATAGTATGTTGCAATAGACTATCGCTATCACAATAGTATGTTGCAATAGACTATCGCTATCTCAATAGTATGTTGCAATAGACTATCGCTATCACAATAGTATGTTGCAATAGACTATCGCTATCGCAATAGTATGTTGCAATAGACTATCGCTATCGCAATAGTATGTTGCAATAGACTATCGCTATCGCAATAGTATGTTGCAATAGACTATCGCTATCACAATAGTATTTTGCAATAGACTACCGCTATCACAATGGTATGTTGCAATAGACTACCGCTATCGCAATGGTATGTTGCAATAGACTACCGCTATCGCAATGGTATGTTGCAATAGACTACCGCTATCGCAATGGTATGTTACAGTAGACTATCGCAATAGTATGTTGCAATGGTATGTTGCAATAGACTACCGCTATCGCAATGGTATGTTGCAATAGACTACCGCTATCGCAATGGTATGTTGCAATAGACTATCGCAATAGTATGTTGCAATGGTATGTTGCAATAGACTACCGCTATCGCAATGGTATGTTGCAATAGACTACCGCTGTCGCAATGGTATGTTGCAATAGACTACCGCTATCGCAATGGTATGTTGCAATAGACTATCGCAATGGTATGTTGCAATGGTATGTTGCAATAGACTACCGCTATCGCAATGGTATGTTGCAATAGACTACCGCTATCGCAATGGTATGTTGCAATAGACTACCGCTATCGCAATGGTATGTTGCAATAGACTACCGCTATCGCAATGGTATATTGCAATAGACTACCACTATCGCAATGGTATGTTGCAATAGACTATCGCAATAGTATGTTGCAATGGTATGTTGCAATAGACTACCGCTATCGCAATGGTATGTTGCAATAGACTACTGCTATCGCAATGGTATGTTGCAATAGACTATCGCAATGGTATGTTGCAATGGTATGTTGCAATAGACTACCGCTATCGCAATGGTATGTTGCAATAGACTACCGCTATCGCAATGGTATGTTGCAATAGACTACCGCTATCGCAATGGTATGTTGCAATAGACTATCATCGCAATAGTATGTTGCAATGGTATGTTGCAATAGACTACCGCTATCTATCAAATGGTATGTTGCAATAGACTACCGCTATCGCAATGGTATGTTGCAATAGACTACCGCTATCGCAATGGTATGTTGCAATAGACTACCGCTATTGCAATAGTATGTTGCAATAGACTACCGCTATCGCAATGGTATGTTGCAATAGACTATCGCAATAGTATGTTGCAATGGTATGTTGCAATAGACTACCGCTATCGCAATGGTATGTTGCAATAGACTACCGCTATCTCAATAGTATGTTGCAATAGACTACCGCTACCGCAATAGTGTGATGCAATAGACTACCGCTATCGCAATGGTATGTTGCAATAGACTACCGCTATCGCAATGGTGTGTTGCAATAGACTATCGCTATCGCAATGGTATGTTGCAATAGACTACCGCTATCGCAATGGTATGTTGCAATAGACTACCGCTATCGCAATGGTATGTTGCAATAGACTATCGCAATAGTATGTTGCAATGGTATGTTGCAATAGACTACCGCTATCGCAATGGTATGTTGCAATAGACTACCGCTATCGCAATGGTATGTTGCAATAGACTACCGCTATCGCAATGGTGTGTTGCAATAGACTACCGCTATCGCAATGGTATGTTGCAATAGACTACCGCTATCGCAATGGTATGTTGCAATAGACTACCGCTATCGCAATGGTATGTTGCAATAGACTATCGCAATAGTATGTTGCAATGGTATGTTGCAATAGACTACCGCTATCGCAATGGTATGTTGCAATAGACTACCGCTATCGCAATGGTATGTTGCAATAGACTACCGCTATCGCAATGGTATGTTGCAATAGACTACCGCTATCGCAATGGTATGTTGCAATAGACTATCGCAATAGTATGTTGCAATGGTATGTTGCAATAGACTACCGCTATCGCAATGGTATGTTGCAATAGACTACCGCTATCTCAATAGTATGTTGCAATAGACTACCGCTATCAATAGTGTGCTGCAATAGACTATCGCTATCGCAATGGTATGTTGCAATAGACTATCGCCATCTCAATGGTGTGTTGCAATAGACTACCGCTATCGCAATGGTATGTTGCAATAGACTATATCGCTATCGCAATGGTATGTTGCAATAGACTATCGCTATCGCAAATGGTATGTTGCAATAGACTATCGCAATAGTATGTTGCAATGGTATGTTGCAATAGACTACCGCTATCGCAATGGTATGTTGCAATAGACTACCGCTATCGCAATGGTATGTTGCAATAGACTACCGCTATCGCAATGGTATGTTGCAATAGACTACCGCTATCGCAATGGTATGTTGCAATAGACTACCGCTATCGCAATGGTATGTTGCAATGGACTACCGCTATCGCAATGGTATGTTGCAATAGACTACATTGTTTGTGTTTTAACACTGTTCTTGACAACTGATGTCTCAATACTGACTACAGGTCCTTGTCGCCAGTGACAAGGTCAGAGCATGGCTTTACTGTTTTGGGGGGTTATTTAGAGGAAAAACATAAACCTACATATATTTCATCAAAAATTCTCTATTTGCAGCTGAGACGACGGTGCCCCCAAATATCAAGTGGATTAAGGCCAACTCCGGCATGAACGGCTTCTACCGCGTCAACTATGATGCAGCCAACTGGCAACACCTTATCAAGCAGCTCATGGACAATCACAAGGTAAATAACCAACTCACTGAGCTCATCTCGACCTGACTTTCTTCAGATTAACAATTTTTGTGTAGTGGCCATAAAATGTTCAAAGAATATGTCATCTTCAAGCAGTAATGTCTGATGATTGAAAAGCACATGGAAACCATGATGTTGCCATGATGGAAACCAAATAGTTTATCATTATACATGCTCACTGGCCAGGGATTTTGGGTAGCTTCGTCTGTCCTTTGTCTCACTTGTCTTGCTGAACACATGGTTTTGAAACTGCACATATAGGAATCCTTTAACATGATATTGATGGAATATTACGCAAAGTGATGTAAAGCTGACTCACTCACTGAATCACTCTCACTTTCTCACTCACTCACTGAATCACTCTCACTTTCTCACTCACTCACTCACTGAATTACTCTCTCACTGAATCACTCTCACTTTCTCACTCACTCACTGAATCACTCTCACTTACTCACTCACTGAATTACTCTCACTCACTCACTGAATTACTCTCACTCACTCACTCACTCACTGAATCACTGTTGCTTTCTCACTCACCCACTTACTCACTGAATTACTCACTCTCTCACCCACTCACTGAATTACTCTCACCCACTCACTGAATTACTCTCACTCACTCACTCACTGAATCACTCTTGCTTTCTCACTCACCCACTTACTCACTCACTGAATTACTCTCACTCACTCACTCACTCACTCTCACTCTCTCACTCACTGAATCACTCTTGCTTTCTCACTCGCCCACTTACTCACTCACTGAATTACTTTCACTCACTCACTCACTCACTCTTCCTGTTTCCAGGTCTTCACGGCAGCTGACAGAGCAGGTCTTATCGATGACGCCTTCAGCCTGGCAAGGTAGAGTTGAGCAAACATGGACTGTAACAATTAATGGACATATCTTGTTGTCAGTCCAGTGTGTGAAATAGTCTCACAATAGTGCTGGCCAGTTGGGCTAAATTTTCTTAAAAGTTACCAACCCGTTTCAGATTTCAGATTAGTTGAATATGGTTATTTTTACAGACGTTTGATTTAGTGAAACCATTCAGGCTAGAGATATTTCAGAATCCAGGTCCTCCTGATGTGTTGCTGTCCCCAGGCCAGCAGACAGGTGGCTTTTTGACACACAGATCCAGACAGATATTTACTGATGATAAGCTGAAATATAGGTGCAGAGATGCCAACCACTCCCATTTTGGCGGAGTTACTCCGATTTTCAAATACAAAATCTGCTCTCCGATTTCACTTTAAAAAACTCCCCATTTTTTAGAGAGAAATTCTGAATTTATTTTTATGGTATACAATTTCGTAAGTCACCGGTGATATATTTGAGTGAACACGTGTAAAAGCATTCAGAAGTTTAGCGTGTGATCCTTTGGGTGTCAATTGTGTATATTGCGTGTTATTTACGATGAAGTTTCACAAAGTTTTTCCGAATGCATGTCATAGTCCGTATGAAAGTGAAACAAAATGGCAGAGCCGACCACGCGCTCACCCTCAACTCGCATCCTTTGGTGCTCAGGCCTGGCTTTCAGCCAGTCATGACTCTGTTTTCCTTAGATTCAGGGTTGGCATCTCTATAGAAACATGTTCCCAAACTGCTTTTGAAACACATTTTGCTATGAAGATCTTACAATCAGATGAGATAGAACAGTAATGTCTGGACATCTGAGCCAGGAACTAAGAATAATATACTGAGAGCAACTAATAAAGGAAACCAAGGCAATTCAAGTGCTTCCTTAATAGTTTCCAGTGTTCATCACCATCTTTGACTAGCGCTGAGGGAGGAAATGTGAGAATATTAACACTGTCATGAAGTGGTGTTCCCTTATTTGTTTCCCTCAGTATATATGACAATATTACATGATGTGGAGTATTTTAAGACACACATTGATCTGGAACATACAGGGCCGGTCTGGTGAGCCAGAAGGTTGCCTTGGACCTGACATTGTACCTGGACAAGGAGGTGGAGTATGTGCCGTGGAAGGCAGCGCTCGACAACCTGGCCTACATCGAGGGCAGGATCATCTTCAAGGAAGTATACACAAGTTTCAAGGTAGGTTTCCCAGTAATCAGGGTCCTGCTCGCTTAATATAGAACAATTTTTTATAAATAACAACTTCTTTATTTCATGAGTGCGACGTTTCGATACAGATTCTTTTACTGTTGTCAAGCAAGTGATGTTGTTCTATATTGAACGTCTCAACTTATAAAATGCCACTCAGACAAGTTATCCTGCTCGCTTGTCATGCCTGTTGACTCACATGGTTTCCCGGGCTAACTCATGCCCCTTCACGTATTATACTTAGGGCCCCCACCGCCTCCGTGGTGTAGTGGTTAGAGCGTCCGCCCGGAGAGCGGAAGGTCGTGGGTTCGATCCCCGACCGTGTCATACCAAAAGATGTTAAAATATGGTACTTGTTGGTCCCTGCCTGGCGCTCGGCATTAATGGGTACAACAAGGACTGGTCGGCTCGGAGTCAGTATAATATGTCTGAGTGGGTATTCATGCTTCACTGCGGCATGGTATCTCAGTGGGCTAGCACTATAAAACCAGCATAAGTCAGGGCTAGTACAAGCAGCCACACATACACATACACACGCATGCACGTCATCATATGAGCGAAATATTCTCAAACACAACGTTAAACCCAATTTCACCTCACCTCAAGTATTATACACCTAGGAAATGGTGATATGTGGATGGGCGGGTAGCATATAACATGTGAGATATTAATATACAATTTACTAGGGCTGCGCGATATAACCGGTTTACCGGTATTTACCGGTTCAGACATGAAAACGATACGTATTGCGATACGCTGATCGAAAACCGGTATTTTGACATGCATTCGGAAAACTTCGTAGCAGTCGGAAATCTTCGGATATTTCCGTTTTTTTTAATTGTTCATTTCCCTGTTTCATTAGTGCCAAATGTTACTTACATTTTTATTTTGTCATGATTAAAAGTTTTTATAAAAGGTTAATCAGTCATAGTGATTTTGTTGTGTTTTTGCTTTATAATCAAGCATTAACTCAATTATAAGTAGTTTTTGTTAAAAAAATAATCCTTGCAATATATTGCAATACATATCGCAATATATGCTTCCGCATCGCAATATATCGCAATATGAAAATTCTCTGCAATAAGCACCCCTACAATTTACAATTATTATGAAGTTTACAATTCCCTGGCCCTAATTGCTGAGACTGCATGATCATCATTACCCTGGATACGAGCCACTGGTACTGTTACACTACTTGAGATGAGGGGTGGTGGGGGAGCCTAGTGGTTAAAGCGTTCGCTCGTCACGCCAAAGACCTAGGTTCGATTCCCCACATGGGTACAATACGTTAAGCCCATTTCTGGTGTCCCCGGCCGTGATATTGCTGGAATATTGCTTAAGTGGCGTAAAACCAAAACTCACTCACTCACTTGAGATGAAGGTCAATGAGGGGAAAGGGATGGTGTCCATAGGCGGAGATCATGGAATTTTCAAGGGGGAGGGAGTGGGGTGGTGGGTGTTGGGTTGTTTGGAATCTGTTGGCACTGGAAATGATATTTTCAGTCTTAATCTGTTTTTGTGTCTTTTAGATTTCTGATAAGGTATTGCTTCATCTATACAACCACTAAATGTTTGAATTGTTGAATTCTTGTTCCCTGGTATGTGACCGTGACACCGTACTGTAAGAACGCGTTCCCTAAGTCCTACAACTAAGGCGTCCTGTGTAATCTTCCTTCCAGGCCTACATGCTGAAACTGATCAAGAACCGTCTGACAGCGCTGCAGTGGACCGATAGTGGATCTCACCTGGAGATGTGAGTGTAGAAGTAGTGAATATCTAGTCACCTATGACAAACTACGGATTATTTTTCTGGACAGAGTTAGATTTATAAGATTTGAGTGGTGGCCACTGGTCTTTTGTCTAAGTAGATAAATGTTGTTTCCTGATCACAAGTGGAAACAATAGATGAGTACTTAGAGAGGCAGTTCCATGATTTCGACAAAGGAGAGGTGGGTACTTAGGTAGAGAATAACCTAGGTAGAGAATAACCACCGATGTACAAGGAATTGTGGAATATCTTTCCAGAATGAGTTTATTTTGTTAGTTCCCACTGTTGGCACATAGTCTTTTATCTGGAAAAAATGTAGAGAAATTTTCTGATCACCAGGGTAGGATTTGGACAAAGAGGAGATGCTAAGGGTGCCTTTACATGTAAGCTGTACCTGTGAAGATCTGGGTTAGAATTGGTCTTCAGTAACTCATGTATTTCATGAGAGAAAAAACACAAACCGGAACTGGTAGTCAGGCTCGCTGACTTGGTTGACACATAGATCTGGTCCCCAGCCATGAACATCTGGGTACCAACAAAGAAACAAACAGACAAACAGAACATGTTAAGTGTAGACCTCTGTTACTCACCAACACATCATGTGTTAAGTTTTTGTGACTAAAGTTTACATTCACACACAGGTTCCTGCGAAGTAACATTCTCAGCTGGGCAGTCCGACTTGGCCATCAACCATCCATCGACAAGGGCAAGGAACTCTTCAAGCAGTGGGTGGAGGACCATACAAGGTAATCTCCCTTTAGTGGTGTCTGCCTTGCTCGGGACTTTGTTGTCGTCATGGTATCACCAATGTGGGGAAAAAGTTTGAAAGTTTGATATTCATGAACACATAGTGTGTGTGTATGTGTGTCTTTGATAATGTTGTTATAACGTAAGTGTTACTGATGACTGTTTTCCAAATTTATGTTTGTTTTTATCACCCCGGCATGTAATGCGAGCTTGATATAGTCAATGCCTCGTCTGTCTGTCTGTCCGTCCGAAAACCGTTCAATAGTTTTCAACAAAAATTGATAGATATATCATAACTCAATAACCGTTCAATATTTTTCAACAAAAATTGATAGATATATCAAACAGAACCTAAAGTGGTGCCTTTTGCTATTTACAGATTTTTGTCATTTTTATTTTTCTTGGTTTCCATGGAAACGTTTTGGACTTAGTCTCAAAAGGGAGGGGTGGGTTTCATTTCCGGAGCACAACACGAAAACCGTTCAATATTTTTCAACAAAAGTAGGTAGATTTATCAAACAGAACCTAAAGTGGTGCCCTTTGCTATATACAGGTTTTTGTCATTTTTATTTTTATTGGTTTCCATGGAATTGATTTGGACTTTAAGTAAGTGTCATATGATTTGTTCTTTCAAATTTGTGGGGACCGGGGGGATTTGTCATCTTCTGATGACTCTTGTATGTACATGTGAGAACAACAAAAGTAATAAGACAACAAAGATGCAGTTTAAACAATGGAAGCCAACAGTTACCTGGTGTCAATGTGTGACTGGCAAAGGACAAATGGAAGCCAGCACATAACAGTTAATTAGCGCTGACTGGACACCAACACTTAATAATACTATAATAATAATAATAATAATAATAGTGTATATTTGTAAAGCGCCAGTGTCCTCCTATTGATGCTTGCTCATGGCACATTAAAACTATTTACAGAAGAAAGGAAAATGTCAATTGTAGGCTTTAGTGAAGAAGGAATGTCATTATGACCTTCTTGAAAGTTTGATTTTGTAAGGGGTGACATGCTGAAAAATTTTCTTTCCAAAAGAGGAGTGCTGACCCTTGTTGACCTTAACAGTTAATTAGCGCTGAACAGAAGCCAACAGTTAACAGTTAATTAGTGCTGAACAGAAGCCAACACTTAACAGTTAATTAGCGCTGAACAGAAGCCAACACTTAACAGTTAATTAGCGCTGAACAGAAGCCAACACTTAACAGTTAATTAGCCCTGAACAGAAGCCAGCAGTTAAATAGTGTTGATAGGTGATGAACAGTGGAAAGCTGGTAGCTGTGATTAAATTAAATTATGGGGAATGGACAACGAGCAGATGGACTCCTCCTCTTTCTGAAGGCTGTGAACCCATGAAGATCCGGGTTAGAATTGATCTTCAGTAACCCATGCTTGTCGTCAGGCGACTAACGGGATCGGGTGGTCAGGCTCGCTGACTTGGTTGACACATGTCATCTTATCCAAATAGCTTAGATCGATGCTCATGCTGTTGATCACTGGATCGGTCCAGACTCGATTATATACAGACCGCCGCCATATAGCTGGAATATTGCGGAGTGTGGCATAAAACTCACTCACTCACTGAAGGCTGTGTCTGCTTGTTGCTTCTCTCCATCAGCATTGTCCAACTCTTCATGCGCACCAGTCACATAATGAAACAGATGTGACAGCTGTGTGTGGGCTGCTCAGGTGTGTGTTAACGATACAGTAGCTGCTGACAGCACTGCACCCACCTGTAACACCTGTTTGTTGTGACTTGTCTGGTGATAGCATCACTCACTTAATAACTGTCATGGCAACAGGCGTTATAGGATCTGCTAAACTTAGGTTCAAGGGAGCATTTCATCCAGGAATAAATATACACCTCGTAGAGAGATACAGAAACACATAAGAATATGGATCAAATATTATATTCTCTCAGTATGTATAATTAGAGTCAAGCATCATTTTAATTAATAAATTCTACTAAATATCTTTCAGTGTCGTTGTTATTTGATAATTGAATATATATGATGGTGTCATCTTGGTTAGAATTGAATTCACCGAACCATGCTAGTCGTAAAAGGCGACTAACGGGATCGGGTGGTCAGGCTCACTGACGTGGTTGACAGATGTCATCGTATCTCAATTGTGTTGATTGAAGCTTAAATTCTTGCTGTTAATAATAATAATGTGTCCATTTATATAGCGCCAAACTCCACACTAGGTATGCTCATAGCGCTAACAATCAAGGCACAGCACATTATTACCCCGGATAACCCAAGCTGCCTGTTAGGCACTAGAAGGTTATAGTCATATGACTTTTTCCACCGGGTACCCATTTTCCTGCTGGGTGAGACCCGTGAAGATCCGGGGTAGAATAGGTCTTCAGCAACCCATGTGCTTGCCATAAAAAGGCGACTATCTTGTCGTAAGAGGCGACTAACGGGATCGGGTGGTCAGTTTCGCTGACTTGGTTGACACATGTCATCGGTTCCCAATTGCGCAGATCGATGCTCATGCTGTTGATCACTGGATTGTCTGGTCCAGACTCGATTATTTACAGACCGCCGCCATATAGCTGGAATATTGCTGAGTGCGGCGTAAAACTAAACTCACTCACTCACTCACTCCTGCTGGGTGAACAGACAATTTTGAACAAACTCACTTGCCTAAGGTGAGACCACATGTGTCACATGTGCTTCGTTGTGGGGCAGGACTGATGTCCTAGAAACTCTCAGGAGTCAAGCTGCCAAACACGGTCACCCATCCAAGGACTCTCCGAGCTCGACGCTGCTTAACTTCACCGATTTGTGACCTGAGCTTTGAGCACAGGATTATCTGATTCAGACTTGATTTACAGACCGCCCAACATTGTTCAGTGCAGTGTTAAGCTACAAACAAACAAAAATTACATGTTGCCTACCATTACAGCTTCATCCTACACATGGGGAGGTGGGGTAGCCTAGTGGTTAAAGCGTTCGCTCGTCACGCCAAAGACCCGGGTTCAATTCCCCACACGTGTACAACGTGTGTAGCCCATTGCTGGTGTCCCCCCGCCGTGATGTTGCTGGAATATTGCTAAAAGCGGCGTAAAACCAAACTCAGTCAGTCATCCTATACATAAAACCAATGGATGTTTGTTCCGTATATTGCAGGCAGTGGGGTGGCTTAGCAGTGAAAGCATTCAGTCCTCATGCCAAAGGCCTCTGTTTGATTCCCTAGTTAGGTACACATCATACATTCAGGTAGAAAGTCATAACCCATTAACTGTCTGTGTTTCAGTATTAGCCCTGACCTGAAGAATGTGATCTATATGACGGGCATCAAGTACGGCACGGACAAGGACTGGAAGGCGTGCTGGAAGGTGTACGAGGAGACTAATGTGCCATCCGAGAAACAGAAGATGTTGGTGGCCATGTCATACAGTACGGACACACGGCTGCTCAACCAGTGAGTTACACATACTTGGCCTTCCCTTTCTTCCAGTATAGGTACGTCTCCTATTCTTGCGGGTTTCCTATTCTCACGGTAAACACGTTTTCTGCCGAAAATCGCCGATGCGCGACACTTAGCGGTTGTTTACATCACCGACTGGAAACTAGGAAGTCGCCCAAGTCTGTGAGTGATCAAAATCTTGCAGTGTCACGAATATTGGGGAGTTTATACCAACTTGGACATATCATTACTTTTTCCCGCCCTTTCAGGCAGGATTGCTCTTACATACACTCAATAACGTTAATTCCTGGTAATACCGCTAGACTGGGAGAAGCCTCATTTCGTCAACGGCGGATGGCATTGTTTATCACCGGGCTCACGAGTGGTAATTCACCTGATGGATCTAGCAGCTGATAGATGTAGATGTTAGAGGAGAAGGCCCTTCATTTAAAAACAACAAGCATGAATACGATAAGAATTGTTTGTGTTATTTTTTCAGCCGATATCCGTAAGTACCGCGAGAATAGGAAACGCCTTCCTACCAGATAGATTTCCAAATACAAGGCTTGGTGGTAAACCATATGCTATAAAACATTTACAATATTTTCAGACAGTGTACCTGTAAAGATCCGGGTTATCAAGCTATCACCATTGTCATAACTTGCTTGATAACAGTGATAGCGTCGACACCGAAATGTCACCTCTATTGCAGTAGAGAAGACTGTCTGTTCATCAAAATCATTCCTCTTCTCAAATACTGTTTGACTGATGAAGCTGAACTTTTCCGGCTTTCCTTTTGATGAAGACATGTTTCTCTTTCACTGCATTTTGATTCTGTGCTTTCTGGTTTTAAAAATATCATGATATCAAATTTTAGAGGTATGTTTAAAATCATATTCTTACAAGGCACAGAAAACTGTGAATGCTGATCATGTCAAATGTTGTCCAGGTACCTCGGCTTCAGCCTCAACAAGTCCAAGGTTCGGTCCCAGGACACCGAGAGGGTCATCACGTCTATTGCAGCCAACCCCAGCGGCAAGCTCTGGGCCTGGAGGTTTCTCCAGCAGAACTGGGAAACATTCAGTGAAAGGTGAGACTGACCGGCACCCTTCTACTCTCTCTAGTCTTTCAGACTGCCTCCGTGGTGTAGTGGTTAGAGAGTCAGCTCGGAGAGCGGAAGGTCGCAGGTTCGATCCCTGCCTGCATCATACCAAAAGACGTTAAAATATGGTACTTGTTGGTCCAAGCCTGGCGCTCAGCATTAATGGGTACAACAAGGACTGGTCGGCTCAGAGTCAGTATAATGTGAGTGAGTGAGTGAGTGAGTTTAGTTTTACGCCACTTTTAGCAATATTCCAGCAATATCACTGCGGGGGACATCAGAAATGGGCATCACACACTGTACCCATGTGTGGAATAGAACCCGGGCCCTTGTTGTGACGAGCGAATGCCTTAACCACTAGGCTACCCCACCGCCCCTAGTATAATGTGTCTGAGTGGGGTATTCATGCTTAACTGCAGCATGGTATCTCAGCAGGCTTGCACTATAAAACCAGCTTAAGTCTGGGGTAGTACAAGCAGCCGCACATACACACGCATGCACGTCGTTATATGAGCAAAATATTCTAAAGAACGACGTTAAACCCCATTTCACCTCGCCTTAAGCCTTTCAATTATATGTTGACTGGATATGTTTTTATTTAGGTTAGAATTGGCCTTTAGTAATCCATGCTTGTTGTAAGAGGTGACTAATGGCAGGGGTGGAAATAACTTAAAAATTGCTAGTGTACTCCGGTACAGTGGCACATGTAAAATCACTTGCCCTGATAATTTCTCCGCTATACCGGCCGTTTTCTTGTTGATTTTTTAAATAAACAACCTAACTAACATTGGAATATCAACTGGACACCGGTACAGTATGATATACAAATATGCTTGCCGACAGAAAAAAACACTGGACTCGGGCGTTGGGCAATGGGTTATTTCCACCCCTGTAATGGGATCAGATGGTCAGACTCACTGACTATGGTGACACATGTCATTGTATCCCAATTGCATAGATCAGTGCTCATGATGTTGATCACTGGATTGTCTTGCCCAGACTTAATTATATACAGACCTATGCTATATAGCTGCAATATTGTGGAGTGCAGTGTTAAACATCAAACAAACAATGCATTTACGTGTTAAACTTACTGTATGTTATTGAATGTAGAAACTTGAACTTTGATTCAGTACCTGTTAATTATATTCAAAACCAAACACGAAAGTGATGTTTCAAATTGGAAACATTTTAAGGTATTGAATTAATTTGAAACCTCTAAATTGACATGACAGTTGGTATATCTCCTGTGTACCATGACAATGATTAGCTTTTTGGTTATGGTTGAGCCCAGTATTTCAAGGATGAAAACACAAATTCAGAAATCAGTGAAGATCGGTATAAATCTCCATATGTTTTTTACATTACAACTAAATCATAATGTTCTCCTAAACAGGGAGGTGGGGTAGCCTAGTGGTTAAAGCATTAGCTCGTCACGCCAAACACCCAGGTTCAATTCCCACATGGGTATTGTGTGTGAAGCCCATTGCTTGTGTCCCCCATTGTGATATTGCTGGAATATTGCTACAAGCAGCGTAAAACTAAATTCACTACATCATTTGAACCTCTTCATGTTATACCGAGGCGGTGGGGTAGCCTAGTGGCTAAAGCGTTGGCTCGTCACGCCGAAGACCCGGGTTCGAATCCCCACATGGGTACAATGTGTGAAGCCCATTTCTGGTGATGTTGCTGGAATATTGCTAAAAGCGGCGTAAAGCCAAACTCAGTCAGTCAGTCATGTTATGCCCTACATGAGATGTGTCAGCTGAACAACCTGTTAACCCAGCAGAAAATGGGCTCCAGGTGGGATAAGTCATAGAGGATATTATATGAGTGCCCATGTCATACTATGTTTACGACACGAGTGCCTAAATGTTGGTATTTCCGAGCGAGAGCGAGTGATATGTAGATATTTAGGCACGAGTGTCGTAAACGTAGTATGACATGGGCACTCATATAATATTCTGTTTATTACCGAAGTCGTCAAATTGAGGAAAATAAACCCAAATCTACTTTCAAACACAGGCTGGCTACCATCTGTTGCCGCATGTAGAACGCAACGTCACAGAAGGAATGTGACGTCACATGGCCTTACTCGTGACGTCACGTCACCATGACAAAGTGATATTTTGCCCTAGGGCATCGATGAAAAATATGAACCCCGATATGTTGGCCCTCGTAGGTAATAAATGTGATTATTAACCTCCTAGCACCTCACAGGCAGCTTGGGTTATCCTGGGTAATTGTATCCCGCGCTATGAGCATGCTATCGGTGTGGATTTAGCGCAATATAAATGGACTAATTATTAAAAATATTATATGACTTTGTGACGTGTCGTTGAACAGCTTTGAATTGGAGACCAGGCGCCATCCGTTGTCATTATATATTATATTGTTCCAGGTACAAGGAAGGTTCTTTTGGGATGTCTCACCTCATCAAGGGTGTTGCGTCTCACTTCAGTACACAGTTCGACTATGACGAGGTAAGTACCTGCCACCAGTCACACCTGTAATGAGTCTCCTGTGTCTCTAGCCACCATTAACATATCTACAATTCTGTAAGGGATTAGCTTGTACCTGCCACCAGTCACACCTGTCATGAGTCTCGTGTGTCTCTAGCCACCATTAACATATCTACAATTCTGTAAGGGATTAGCTTGTACCTGCCACCAGTCACACCTGTAATGAGTCTCCTGTGTCTCTATCCACCATTAACATATCTACAATTCTGTAAGGGATTAGCTTGTACCTGCCACCAGTCACACCTGTAATGAGTCTCCTGTGTCTCTAGCCACCATTAACATATCTACAATTCTGTAAGGGATTAGCTTGTACCTGCCACCAGTCACACCTGTAATGAGTCTCCTGTGTCTCTATCCACCATTAACATATCTACAGTTCTGTAAGGGATTAGCTTGTACCTGCCACCAGTCACACCTGTAATGAGTCTCCTGTGTCTCTATCCACCATTAACATATCTACAGTTCTGTAAGGGGATTAGCTTGTACCTGCCACCAGTCACACCTGTAATGAGTCTCCTGTGTCTCTATCCACCATTAACATATCTACAATTCTGTAAGGGATTAGCTTGTACCTGCCATCAGTCACACCTGTAATGAGTCTCCTGTGTCTCTATCCACCATTAACATATCTACAGTTCTGTAAGGGATTAGCTTGTACCTGCCACCAGTCACACCTGTAATGAGTCTCCTGTGTCTCTATCCACCATTAACATATCTACAATTCTGTAAGGGATTAGCTTGTACCTGCCACCAGTCACACCTGTAATGAGTCTCCTGTGTCTCTATCCACCATTAACATATCTACAATTCTGTAAGGGATTAGCTTGTACCTGCCACCAGTCACACCTGTAATGAGTCTCCTGTGTCTCTATCCACCATTAACATATCTACAATTCTGTAAGGATTAGCTTGTACCTGCCATCCAGTCACACCTGTAATGAGTCTCCTGTGTCTCTATCCACCATTAACATATCTACAATTCTGTAAAGGATTAGCTTGTACCTGCCATCAGTCACACCTGTAATGAGTCTCCTGTGTCTCTATCCACCATTAACATATCTACAATTCTGTAAGGGATTAGCTTGTACCTGCCATCAGTCACACCTGTAATGAGTCTCCTGTGTCTCTATCCACCATTAACATATCTACAATTCTGTAAGGGATTAGCTTGTACCTGCCACCAGTCACACCTGTAATGAGTCTCCTGTGTCTCTATCCACCATTAACATATCTACAATTCTGTAAGGGATTAGCTTGTACCTGCCACCAGTCACACCTGTAATGAGTCTCCTGTGTCTCTATCCACCATTGACATATCTACAATTCTGTAAAGGATGAGCTTGTACCTGCCATCAGTCACACCTGTAATGAGTCTCGTGTGTCTCTATCCACCATTAACATATCTACAATTCTGTAAGGGATTAGCTTGTACCTGCCATCAGTCACACCTGTAATGAGTCTCCTGTGTCTCTATCTCCTGTGGGATCTCTATCCACCATTAATGACATGTGTCTCTATCTTGACATATCTCAATTCTGCAAAGGATGAGCTTGTACCTGCCATCAGTCACACCTGTAATGAGTCTCCTGTGTCTCTATCCACCATTAACATATCTACAATTCTGTAAGGGATTAGCTTGTACCTGCCATCAGTCACACCTGTAATGAGTCTCCTGTGTCTCTATCCACCATTGACATATCTACAATTCTGTAAAGGATGAGCTTGTACCTGCCATCAGTCACACCTGTAATGAGTCTCCTGTGTCTCTATCCACCATTAACATATCTACAATTCTGTAAGGGATTAGCTTGTACCTGCCATCAGTCACACCTGTAATGAGTCTCCTGTGTCTCTATCCACCATTAACATATCTACAATTCTGTAAGGGATTAGCTTGATGCTTCTGTGTAGTCAGCATTCATAGGTGCAGTGGACAGACAGTCCCCCAGAGATTTTAGTTGGTATTTCCAGGAGTCATCATCATTAATGGTTATTCCACATCAAATATTATACATCTGCTCCTAGATATAAGCATCTAAAACGTTCTTTACCTGTTATATGAAGAAACAACATTCTTCAGCTGTTGTTCAAAGGAACAATGTTCCCAATCTGTTTTCATTGGGAAGAATGTTCTGTACTTTATTCTAAGAAACAATGTTCTGTATCTGTTATTGCTAGGAATAATGTTCTAGATCTTTTATTATTAGGATCAATGCTCTACATCTGTTACTCCTTGGAACAATATTCTCTGTATATGTTATTTCTAGGAACAATATTCTCTGTATCTGTTATTCCTAGGAACAATATTCTATGTATCTGTTATTCCTAGGAACAAAGTTCTATATATGTTATTCCTAGAAACAATAGTCTCTGCATCTGTTATTCATAGAAACAATGTTCTCTGCATCTGTTAATCCTAGAAACAATGTTCTCTATATCTGTTAATCCTAGGAACAATGTTCTCTGTATCTGTTATTCCTTGGAACAATATTCTCTGTATCTGTTAATCCTAGAAACAATGTTCTATATCTGTTAATCCTAGGAACAATGTCCTATATATATTATTCCTAGGAATAATGTTCTTTGTATTTGTTATTCATAGGAACAATATGCTCTGTAGCTGTTATTCCTAGGAACAATATTCTCTGTATCTATTATTCCTAAGAACAATATTCTCTGTATCTGTTATTCCTAGGAACAATATTCTCTGTAGCTGTTATTCCTAGGAACAATATTCTCTGTAGCTGTTATTCCTAGGAACAATATTCTCTGTATCTATTATTCCTAAGAACAATATTCTCTGTAGCTGTTTTTCCTAGGAACAATATTCTCTGTATGTTATTCCTAAGAACAATATTCTCTGTATTTGTTATTGCTAGGAACAATATTCTCTGTAGCTGTTATTCCTAGGAACAATATTCTCTGTATCTGTTATTCCTAAGAACAATATTCTCTGTAGCTGTTATTCCTAGGAACAATATTCTCTGTAGCTGTTATTCCTAGGAACAATATTCTCTGTATTTGTTATTCCTAGTAACAATATATATTTGTCTGTATTCTGTTATTCCTAAGAACAATATTCTCTGTAGCTGTTATTCCTAGGAACAATATTCTTTGTATTCTATTATTCCTAAGAACAATATTCTCTGTATTTGTTATTGCTGGAACAATATTCCTAGGAACAATATTCTCTGTAGCTGTTATTCCTGGTAACAATATTCTCTGTGCTGTTATTCCTAGGAACAATATTCTCTGTATCTGTTATTCCTAGGAACAATATTCTCTGTTATTCTGTATATTCCTAGGAACAATATTCTCTGTAGCTGTTATTCCTAGGAACAATATTCTCTGTAGCTGTTATTCCTAGGAACAATATTCTCTGTAGCTGTTATTCCTAAGAACAATATTCTCTGTAGCTGTTATTCCTAGGAACAATATTCTCTGTAGCTGTTATTCCTAGGAACAATATTCTCTGTAGCTGTTATTCCTAGTAACAATATATACTCTGTATCTGTTATTCCTAAGAACAATATTCTCTGTATCTGTTATTCCTAGGAACAATATTCTTTGTATCTATTATTCCTAAGAACAATATTCTCTGTAGCTGTTATTCCTAGGAACAATATTCTCTGTAGCTGTTATTCCTAGTAACAATATTCTCTGTAGCTGTTATTCCTAGTAACAATATTCTTTGTATCTATTATTCCTGGCAATAATATTCTCTGTAGCTGTTATTCCTAGTAACAATATATACTCTGTATCTGTTATTCCTAAGAACAATATTCTGTATCTTGTTATTCCTAGGAACAATATTCTCTGTATCTGTTATTCCTAGGAACAATATTCTCTGTATCTGTTATTCCTAGGAACAATATTCTCTGTATCTGTTATTCCTAGGAACAATATTCTCTGTATCTGTTATTCTAGGAACAATATTCTCTGTATCTGTTATTCCTAGGAACAATATTCTCTGTATCTGTTATTCCTGGAACAATATTCTCTGTATCTGTTATTCCTAGGAACAATATTCTCTGTATCTGTTATTCCTAAGAACAATATTCTCTGTATCTGTTATTCCTAGGAACAATATTCTCTGTATCTATTATTCCTAAGGAACAATATTCTCTGTATCTGTTATTCCTAGGAACAATATTCTCTGTAGCTGTTATTCCTAGTAACAATATTTACTCTGTAGCTGTTATTCCTAGTAACAATATATACTCTGTATGTGTTATTGCTAGGAACAATATTCTCTGTATTTGTTATTGCTAGGAACAATATTCTTTGTATCTATTATTCCTGGCAACAATATTCTCTGTATCTGTTAATCCTAGAAACAATGTCCTATATATATTATTCCTAGGAATAATATTCTTTGTATTTGTTATTCATAGGAACAATGTTCTATATATATTATTCATAGGAAAAATGTTCTTTGTATCTGCTATTTATAGGAACAATATTCTCTGTATCTGCTATTCCTAGGAACAATATTCTCTGTATTCGTTATTCCATGAACAGTGTTTGTTATATATGTTATTTCCAGGTACACAATTTCTTCGCCAAGAGGGATGCTGGGTCCGGAACCAGAGCTGTGAAACAGTCGCTGGAGAAAATACAGATGAACATTGATTGGCTGGAGAAAAATGAAGCAGAGGTCACGGATTGGCTGAATCAGCATTCAAGCTGAAGTTTGTAGAAAAGATTGAGAGTCAAAAGTTTTATCGAAAGTCTTACGTGATATGTTTTAATCATGTAATTAATATCAATCTTTGAAGCTTTATTTCAAAGAGATTTATATTTCTAAACAGGGGTGAGGGATAATCTGATGGATAATGAACTCAAGCATCATGACCAGGCCTGGGTTCAGTACCACACATGGTACAATGTAATGTATGGTGTGTTCTGCCATAATGGGATCTAATTTTAACAAAATATGTGATAAGGCCAGACCAATTTTATTTCTTGTTTTACAGATTTTTGTCCTCAGAAAACCTAAAGCAGGAGGAAAAACAATAAAAAATCAAAGTGATATTCCTTTTAAATACTAAAAGTATTTTACTTTTGGCAATTTGTGAAGTGTATATGGGGCAAAAAAACAATCTAAAAAATATTCTTGTAAGGTTACATTTTGGGCCAATAAAAACATTAGGATTTTATTTTTGAATGGGGAAAATTAGTTTTTATTTATTTTTTTCTTATTCTTTAAAAATATAACCGGCAGAACCGTAAAACAAGAAATGAAATTGGTCTGGCCTAATCTAGTAATTTTACTGTCCTTCATTGACTGAGTTTTATCAATTTTATGTATTTATCATGAATTTAGAACTAGTTTTAGTCACGATATGGTTGAAATATTGCCGATGTGACTTAAAATATGTGACTTACTCACTCACTCTTGCCATGATGCTACTGGAATTTTGAGAAAGGTATCAAACCAAACTGTCCTTTTATTTGAGCTCTTATCAGTTCCCTGTTTATTTTTCTGTCTGAATTGAAATCAAATGATTCTTTTCTTAATGGAAAAACATGATAAAAATAACCATATTCCAATGCAGTATTGACCAGTATGAGAGCTATTGTGCTCACAAGACTGCACAATGTTGGACCTCTCACAGAAATTTACGGTATTTACCAGGGTTAACAGTTCTCTGTAAGACTGTGGGGTGTTAATTTGATTTATTTTCATGTTTGCCTGGTTGTGAACTTGGTAATTAGGGTCAGGTGTTAGCAAACACGGCCATCATACAATCCTGGAAAATCCTCAGACTTGCCGTGATGGGTGTACCTGTGTATGTCTCTGGAAGCCAAACCAAGACTTTCCTGGATGGTGGGTCTCCTTTAGGCCAGACCAATTTTATTTCTTGTTTTATGGATCGGCTGGTCATATTTTTTCAAGAATAAGAATTCAAAATCAAATTTCTCCTCTCAAAATTTGAAATCCTAATGTTAACGTGATATAAGTGAAATACTCTTGAAATCAGTGTGAAGCCTAAACTCACTCAACTTATGTTTAGTTGATATAAACAAACCAAAAGAGTTAACATGGAAACTTTGGGTTTTTTTGCCTCCTGCCTTCAGGTTTTCTAAGAACAAAATCCGTAAAGCAAGAAACAAAACTGGTGTGTCATTATCAGGAATAGCAGTCTGTTAAAAACAGAAGAATTCTTATGGAGGAGAGTGAAATTTTTAAAAGATTGTCACAAAGGGGTCCTTTTTGGTCTGTATTGATAAACATATATTATGATCTTAGGTATACTTGTAATTTGAACAGATTTTAAATAATGAAGAAGCAGAGTTTAGAATGAACTCCTTCAAACAAAGGAGTAGATTCAGTGTTAGGGGAAGGACGTTTATTGACTGTGTTTTATGTGTGTTGTATTGGCATTGTGATATTCCAATGAGGAAAACCTTGTTTTCAGTCTTAGTAAACTTAGGCTCAGTATTATTCGTTACACAGATGCTGAGTCTAACAAAACCTTGTGGAAGGTTGCGTCAGATAACCTTTTCAATTGACCAATCAGAACACAGCTTACCAAATCACGAAAATTGACATTCGCACATATCTTTTGAACTTTTACCTCCAAAAAGATTTTAACAAAGGATTCCGAATGCTATTTTCCGTACGATCGGTTCCTAGTGAGGCACGCCACTGCAGTGAGTAAACAGTCGCTGAAAATTGTGTTTTGTCAGTATTCAAGCATGTCAGCTTGCGGAAATATTAGCTAATGATAGCCATGTCAACAGAAACCCCAAAGCGTATATACTGCAGGTCAAATATCTGTGTTTTATGCAAGTTTCATTTGTTGGGAGATCAGTGTTGGCGACCGGGGAAGATAAAATCCATTTTGTAAGTCCTGCCGAACCATAAATAGTAGCTGTTGTCTCATTGGTTAAATCCGTTCGGCCGTCTCCCGTTTGATTGGACGGTCATAGGTCGCTCAAGGGTTACCTGGCGCGACCTTCCACAAGGTTTTGTTAGACTCAGTATAGCAGTGTAACGAATAATACCGAGTCTAAGTTTACTTAGACTGACCTTGTTTGCATATTATGAGTAGTTCTTTGTGCAATGAGATTTTAATTTTTATTGTTTTGTCATATCATGTTTGAAGTCAGCTTCAGGTAATACAATGTCACAAGATACCTTCACATAACTACATTTTGTGGGTGCATGGATGGTCATTATCATTGGGCCATTTGCTGTGTGGAGTTGCCTCCCTTAGGAGTGCCAGAAACAGATGATCGTGGGCTGGAATCCTGAATTTGCCCTGATTAAATTAGGATCATACTGAAACATTTGCATCACCAAATGGTAACTATCTACCTTTATCAATGTGAGGTGTTCTCCCACAGAATGCTCCGACTCCATGACGCAACTGAAATACTGTTGTAAGCGTTGTTTATTCTAACTCGCTCAGTCACGAAATTGCAATAGGAATGGATTTATTGCAGCCATGTTTTCATACTTCTATATGTGTTATATCTTATATGTGCTTGTTTAAAATAATGTGTTATCTCATGTTGCTGATAATTTGTATGTGTGTACTTTTATTTCTTGTTTTTAAAAAATCCATTTTTCTCATGGTGCTTATAAACCAAATATTGTAATCAAAACAACATATTTAGCTTTGTTCACATTTCACATTGTTTAGCTTAATACGAAATAACTGTAGATATTATTTTTGGGTCAACAAATACTGTATTTTGATGGGAGATACAGGGGGAGGGATACAAACAGCAGAGGGACCAACTGCTAAATGTTCTAGATGTTGCTGGGTGGTGGGGTAGCCCAGTGGTTAAAGCGTTCACTCAGCACACCAAAGACCCGGGTTCGATTCCCCTCATGGGTACAATGTGTGAAGCCCATTTCTGGTGTCCCCAGCTGTGATATTGCTAAAAGCGGCATTAAACTAAAATCACTCATTATATATATTTTTAATTCAGCTCAAAATATATTGTATAGTTACTTAGTGTGGTTCAAAACACTACTTTGACCTTGACCTACATTTCATCATCAATAACCTTGACACTCTTTATGTGATATGTTTCATTGGCTGGATAACACAATGGTGAAGGCATCGCATGTTTTTGGGACAATCTTGTCTTATTGTACATACAGGATGTCCATTGAATCAGTGTTATTGATGAGATAGCATCCTATAAACTATTTGATCTTCCTCCTTCGTCTGTCACTTCCAACATGTTGCCCTCATCTTTGTGACTGTCCTACTTGGTCATCATCACAGTTCTGTCCACCTTTCTTGTTGCCGATATAAAATATGATTATTTCAAACCAAAGCAACTTTGAAGATACCTGGATATATTTTTGCAATGAAATATTGAATATTTGAAGTAAAGTAATTATTCTTTCAAGTAGGAAAAAATGTTTTCTTTATAAGGGGGTATTGGGAGTTTTCAACACCGTTTCTGCAGAGGGCGGGTTAGTTCTTTCAGCTGGTACGCAACTTTGATGTTGTCTTTAGATTAGGAGATTGGTAGAACCGATTTTAAGATATCTGAAGACATTGAAATATTCCTCTGATATTTTGGCTGGTTTTATAGGTGATGATTTATGCTCTGGATGGTTTCATGTGATGCTTGCAACATTGGTGGTTTTATGTGATCATTAATCAATAGCCTTGTCTATCAACAGTGTAATGTCTTCATGGCACTCAAACAGATTCTGTGGAAATCCTTCAATGTAACTGTTACATAATTGAACATAGAGATTTTTCTGGGTTACATCTTCTTTTTATTCTTGAGTACAACGCTTCAGGACTTGTTTTGGCTCCATCATCAGGTAAAGCTGAGCAGTAACAGTTACAGTATCTTTTTGAACAGTTGGGGCGGTGGGGTAGCCTAGTGGTTAAAGCGTTTGCTCGTCACGCCGAAGACCTGGGTTTGAATCCCCACATGGGTACAATGTGTGAAGCCCATTTCTGGTGTCCCCTGCCGTGATGTAGCTGGAATATTGCTAAAAGCGGCATAAAACCAAACTCAGTCAGTATTTGAACAGTTACTGTTCAGTTTTACCTGATGATGGAGCCAGAACAAGTCCTGAAACGTTCTCAAGAATAAAAAGAAGATGTAACCCAGAAAAATCTTTATGTTCATCAAATAGCATCTTCTAAAGTGCCAACCAAGCATCTGTTACATAATTACACTATATAATCCCGGCTTGTTGACATGGGCATCCATTGGTCACAAGGCTGAGCAGGAAGTGTTACCAGGAATCTCCTCTGTTGACATCAAACACTGGAAGCTGAAGGTCTCTGCCGACTGTGTCAACTGGCTGTTTGGTTGTGCTGAATAACCAACACAGATGTCTGCCGACTGTGTCAACTGGCTGTTTGGTTGTGCTGAATAACCAACACAGATGTCTGCCGACTGTGTCAACTGGCTGTTTGGTTGTGCTGAATAACCAACACAGATGTCTGCAGTCAGTACAGTTGGTTGTATAATGGGAACATTACCAGTAGTTGCATATTTATTGATACCAGTCACAGCACTTCTGTTTTCACTTTTCATTGCCCTGCATGTGGACAGTACCGGTATGTTTGCACAGGCTGGAGAATTTATTCCCAGGATGGGCAACAGTTGAACAGGTCTTGGATATGGGTATAGTAATGATAACTTCTTTGAGTTGCAATTTAGGAGTTGGGAAGTCCAATATAGAACACAAATTACGGATAACAACTTTTATTTGTGAGCATGACATTTCGATACAGATTCTTGTACCGTTGTCCTGCTTGTCAAGTTTAGTCTATATTATAGTAATGAAACTGAACCCCAAACATATCATAGGCCATTCAGTGACAACATATTAGCCTGCTCAGGGTCTACCCTTAACATTAGATCAACAGCCTCATGCTGGAGGCCACTCCTTATCCCTGATGAATGTTTTAAACTTAAATATATAGTCCGTTTGGCCGATGAATTGCAATCTAACTCGAAAACTAATAAACATAAAAAACTCAATGAAACGCTAATCATAATCAAAACATCAGACCAAC